AGGAGCAGCTAAGAGGCCAGGAGGAACAATGCCAAGGCAATGGCTTAATTCGCCAGGGCAGATTTACAGCTCCTCCTGCACAGCACCTGCTCACTTTGTTTCTCGGGATTTGGATTGAAAACATTTAAGGACTGAGAACTCAAAGTGTGCACCGGGCATTACCTCCTGGAGATACACGATTGTTTGAAGAAAATCTCCTCTTGAGCTTAGATGAAGAAATCAAGTGGAGCTGTTTTTTATGCAAGGCTATGCTATGCGATGGTGCAAACGGTAATTCTGTCATGTTTGTCAGATTTTCTGTCAGGAGGAAGCTGGTGTCATCTGCATACATAGAGATCTTTGATTCCAAATTCCCTATTTTTAAACCTTCTATAACTTTATTTGATCTTACTTTGATGGCCAATGACTCTATAGCTATGATGAATAGGTAAGGTGATAGAGGGCACCCTTGTTTTACCCCTCTTGTTATTGGTACTAGGTCTGAAAAATGGCCATTATTAATATATATAATCATCTTATATCTAGTATTATTATCATTATCAATATTTTAACCCAGGCTCCAAAATGGAAAAAATCCACTTCAATATGAATTTGAAACTGATTCTATCAAAAGCCTTTTCTAAATCAGAAATGAAAATTAATCCTTTTTTTGTTGTTTATTTCATAACTTTCAATAATTTCTAATAATTGTCTGATATTGTTTCCTATGTAACGACCTTTTAGAAAACCTGATTGGTCATGGTGTATAATATTTGGCATCACCTGTTTTAATCTTTGGGCAATACATTTAGCTAATATTTTAGTGCTGAAGCCTGCAGTTTTTAAACATTTCAGGGTTTTTATAGTGACGGCCAGCATCCTGCTTTAATAGTAGTGAGATATTTCCTTCCTTTTGGGTGCCACTTAGATAACCAGAATAAAAATTAACATAAGGAGGACAAAGGAGACCCAAACTACGAACTATGATATACTATTATGTTGTATTAATTAGGAATGGGGACTAAGGGAGTGTGGTGTCAGCCATAGCGTTCAGCTCCAGTCAAATGAAGCTCACAAGGCTAGCAGGAATTCATTTACGGACAAATCTGCAAAATAAAAACACCAGGATCATGTAGAGCGGGTTAATACAAACATTTTAAGACCAAAATGACAAGGCACTGCAACACACAACTGTACACAAATAGTACGATTCTGTTTTAAATTTTGGCCTCATGATCTGATTTCATTTATTTCATATTTTGTCCCATCCTAGTACTACTTTTGGAGAGATGTGACTCAGCAATACGCAACCCTTTTTTTGTCCACTTTTGTCTTGTGAGATCTTGTGGCACCAGATCTTGTCTCATCCCTAATGATAATGTAACCAGACCATTATTACTATGAACACATGTATCTACTTTCAGCATGATACTCCTACTAGACAAAGACCGGAAAGCATTACTTAAAAACCTCATATTACGGTATTTTCTGATCATAATGTTGTGTCCTCATCACACATGTACCTGTTTTCAAACTTCATACATCTTCACTACAGTCATTTGGATAATTTCAGTTCTGGAATTGCCAGTCTCTACTGAACAAAAGGTAAAATGTAGCTGTTAACTCAAAAACTCTCACTTCATGACATCACAAGGTGGAGCAGAGCATTTTGAGCTTTGAAGATGTGTGAATGAAACAAAGCACAACTCCAGATACATGTTCTTGAGGCGATAACAGCATTGTATCATGGATTAAATCTCACAAGAGTCAACTGTGTGTAATATACTGTAGGACCTTTGAGTAAATCTTCACAGAAACTAAAAATGACCACTGGCTCAAATATGGCTTTATAGCAACAAAAATCACTTCCTCTGCCATGAATGCGTACAGTTATGCAACATCCTCCACATCCGTACAATACAATAATAGCTAACTGAACATGAGGACATTCCCAGTGCGAGTTGCTGCGTTCCCAAAAGCCACATTCCTAAGTGCACTCGGGAGAAAGTGAGAGGGCAGGGAGAGGCCCAGGCTGGTGCCGAGAGGAGTTCCCAGGAAGCCAGAGAGCGTGTTTTTGGAGCTGGACAAGTGCAGAACTGGGGGCCCCTTTTGTCACCCTCTGGGGCCACATGCGATTGGCTCTGTACCCCCTCACATCAGCTCATTCTTCAGTGACAGGACAGGCAAGCATCAATGAGTCATGGAAGCAGCCTTAGCCAACTTCCCTCCACACCATTCCCCTCCATTTGTTCATCCATTCTGCATATTCTTCCCTTGTAAGGAATCTCACACACTGTGGAACTAGCCACTGGACAGTTGCCCCCTCCTGTATAATACGTAGACCCCCCTTTCTCCGCCTGAGTCCCATTTTCCTGGCAGGATTCTGGGGCTGTCACTGGTGAATACAGGTTGGCTGAGCTGCTCTTGACCCAAGGCAGACCACAGCTCCTCAGCGGGCCTGATTCTATCCAGTGATGGAGCGAGACTAATGAAGCTAAGAGGACCTTGTAAAAAACACTGAAAGCTGCTATCTCATGGTACAAAAAAGTATACTAAAATATATAAAATGACTTGTTAAAGGTCCTATATTGTGCAAAATTGTCTCTTGTAAGCGGTTTAGCCATGTTAAAAAGTTGTTATCTCATCATGTGTTTTCTATGTGTTTTTTTGTTTTGTTTTGTTTCATTCACACATTTGAATAATCCTTTATTATTAGTCTGTCTACATCTCCAATCTCAAAATCTCACCAAACTTAACATTCTTAATATTTATGATATTAATATTTATCAAATTTGTATTTTTATGTATAAAATTCTTTATGATTCAAGGGCGATCCCCAAACATTTCACATTTTACTTTAAAACCAATGCAGAGATTCATAGATCATCAAACTCTCATCAAAATCATAATTTTCAGGTTCCAAAATTTGTCACATCAATAGCTCAATTTTGCCCACGGCTGTAAATTCTGGGGCCAATTTTCATATCTGGTTAGTGACGGCACATCAGAGGCGTTGAAGACTGGATATGAAAGAGTTTGAGGAAATGTTTGATATTTCATAGTAATGTTTAATAATCATTCATTTGTGGATGTTTCATTGTGCTTTAATCCGTGTTTGAATTTATTTTATTATTATTATTTTTTTTTTTATGCACAGCGATAATGTTCAATTTTTTATGTATTCATAAGGTGGAGGCTTTAATATAAGCCCTTCTGATTTTTTTTGCCTCTGCTGGCACCTACTTTTTTTCTAGTGTGTTTTTTTATTATTATTATGTTAGACGTGCAAAATGCATAATAAATAAATAAATAAAAATGCTTTGTTCTACCCTGTGATGTCATAAAGTGGTAGTTTTCAGCTACCTTTTTACCTTTTGTTCAGTAGAGGTTGCCAATTCCATGACTGAAATAGGCAAATGATCTTAGTGAAGGTGTATGGGGTTTAAAAACACAGTGGAGCCCTTCCTCTATTACCACATGACATCACAAGGAGGAACAGAGCGTTTTTTCGAAAGAAGAACTCAGCCTAAATATACAGGGATTGTGTTAAAGATGTGTGAATGGAGCAAAACAGAAATGCAGAAAATATAAATTGTCAATGTTCATATTTATGTAGCTCTATTTGGCACATTCAAATCCAAGGTGGGTGCGAGAATGTCCATTAATTGACACTGAAAATAAACTCTAGGTGCATTAGAACTCCAACCTCATTCGCTGACCTATATTATTTAACCAGAATAAAATCCCATTGTAGTGTTGTCATAAACTTATATAAGTAATAATTTTTAATCTACAATCAGTATCTGTTCAGTAGTGGCAATAAGTGACATTTATACACCAAAATATTGTATCAAATAAAATGATTCTAATATGGATCACTTGTGCCACCGTAGTGTTAGTATAAACCTGTGGAAAACACTGAGTTACGAGTGTTGTATCTGTGTCAGTCCTAAGTCCTGATAAATGGACAGCGTTTCAAAACAACTGTTATGTCTATTCTTAAAAAGCAAAGAAAAGTCAAACATGCCCTTTCACAAATCATAAAGGTTAACCTCAAACTATTTATTGTTCTAAACTTAAATTGGGCACAAAACCTCAGAGGGTTATTTGCAGCCATGTCTTACCTGATTATATGTACACTGCTAAGCAACCCCCACACTCTGCCCCACTCACCGAGGCCTGAGCGGAAACCACTTATTACAGTGAGGAGGGTGGACAGTGTGTTTTAGACCAAATCTGGCTGTGGCTGCTACAAAAATGACATGACTGTTAACAGCACACCTGGCTTACACACTCTGTAACAAATCTGTTTACAAGAAAAAGGGGCTTGTGCAATAGCCCCGGAGTTTCAGAAACAAAAATATTTGGCTGTAATTCTGACACAGCTTGAATAACATAGCAATTTAATTTTTTTTTTACATATAGAGCTCAGAATTGTGTCACAAATAAGATAAACCAAATGGAGATTTTAAAATGCTAAATACAAGAGTAATAGAGATGTATTTACTAATAGTTACAGGGTTGTTCCACTGCTCTTTTAAATGCTGCTTAAGTTAATGCATTTCAAGGTTTTACACTCTTTATAAAAATGGTGGATTCAGTCAATAAAGGTTGCTCTATTGTTCATTTTTATATCCATACAAAAACTTTAAAAAAAAATTGTAAAAAAAAAATGTAAACTGTGACTTCAAAATTGTCTTAAAACATGTATCTGCACTGAAAAGTCAGTGAATACACCATGTGGATCTGTAAGCAACAACAGAGAAATATCATGAAAATAAAGATCCATAAAAGGACTTCCTGCCAAGGTCAGGCCCTTGAGTGTGTCCTGTGGGAGGAGCAGAGAAGAGGGCACTAATGGATGCCACTGCCTGGTAATTGGATCTAAGGCCCGTGGATCCATTGGTAGCCACTAGAGTCCCAACCAAATATCAAATGGACAAACGGTTTGAGTTTCCCTAATAAATAATGTTTATTAAAAGTATTTAAATGTGTTAGTTGTATTTACAAATCATATTACAATGTTGTTGTTGTATAAATATGACATATGTGTGTGAAGAGTGAGTTACTCTTTGTCAGTCTCTGTGAGCAGGCCCATGCTTTTTAGGATGCTCTTCTGCATGTCCAGGGAGGCAGCGTACACCTTCATGGCCTCCTCCTCACTCTCCTCCAGGACTTTAAGTGACTCCTTCAAACAACAAAATGTATATAAAAATAAATTATTACCAATATTATATTGTGTAAGTCTCATGTATAGCCTGAAACATTACATACATTTAACTGGAGACTAGACAAACTAACAGGTCTAACATTATTGGAACTTTCCAAGACTGAAATCATATTACACTGTGTGTGAATAAAACATGATGAGAATTAGACAGTCTGTCCAGTGAACAGTAATCTATTTTAAACTTTTAACTCAATATAATGTAATATATTTTATTACAGAGGCACCTGCTGTCAGAGCATACTGTCAATCAAAGCTATATAATGGGAAATTGCAAGGTAAAACTGTCAAGCACGTTTCTTGACTTTATTCCCCAGGACAGTTTCAAAATGAAATCGTTTGACTTTCTGAAATAACTCATCTTACCGTCTTCTTCTTGGGTTCGTCCCCTCCCATGTGGTGTGTCTCTTCCTTTTTCATCAGATCCTTTATCCTGTTTTGTTCTAACTCAAAGTATTTCCGCATACTCACACTCTGTCAATACATAACAGCTAAAGTGAGGCATTACACTAATCTTTCATTGGCCTCTGTAGAATTCAAACTATGTTATCTGTGGTACAGTGTGTTACCTCGTTCTTTATTGGTACATAGAAAGCCCTTGGGATTTCAAACACACGAATCATTCCCAGGTCGTCACACACTGCCAGGAAGTGCTGTTTAGCTGTGGAGAAAAAAAATAAATGATGAACCCAAAACAAAATAGTTAAACAAGAATTGATGAACAATATGTCCTTCATAGAGTTTGGAGGCACTCAAGCAATAATCAGATAGTTTTAAGCATAGAGTTATACAATTATAGAAGTCTTAAAGCTAGAGCATTTATCCTAAAATAAAAAAAAAAAAAAACATAAAATTTGAGGCAGACACTTTTTCAACAAAACAACAACTAAAAACAAAATAAGAACAAAAACTAGAATTGCACTTGCACACTTTATATAACTTAAAGGTCCTATACTGTACACATTTTTTTCTTGTGAACTTTAAGTCATGTATTAATGCCATTATCTCCTCAAAGTTGTGTTTGTATGTATTTGATGAGAGAACAACATTATAACAGATCAGCAAATATAATATGTATGTGTAATATGGACCCTTTAATTCATATAAGTGAATGGATACTATTGTAGTCTATACAATATCAATGTCCACTCACATCCACCCGCCTTCACTCATACAGAAAATTCTTACTGGCATGACTTATTTCCTTTAAGAGGTTAATGACGTACATGATGCCTTCCAGGGTTTGATGCAGCTGATCTTGGCGTTGATGACATGAGCCAGAATCTGTGTGGGCTCACTGGTCTGCTCCAGCAGGTTCCACAGCTCAATGCTGCCATCATCTCTCCCCAAGAAGAAGACAGCTGGTCGAGACAGAGACCAGCACCCCACTGTGTAAAGCTGTTCTGAACAGGCCGACTCGAAGATAGGCATATCCTGGAGATAAAATAATAATAATGATTTTTAAAAAGGGTTGTAATTTGAATTGGCCCAAATGATCACAAATGTCATAATTAAGGTAATAGAATGTCCTATGCAAACAACACAGTTACATCTATGCCACCCTTTGCTTTGTAGAAAAATATTTAGACTTATTTAAAATATAGTAGTAGTAGTTATGAAACATGTCAAGTGGCACGTGTCCCTACCATGACTCCCTCCTTCCAGATGGCAAAGTTCCAGCCCCCTATCGTCAAAATAATATCCCTGAAGAATGGTGAGCGTTGTACGGTGTTTACCAACCAGTGATGAATGCTCAGGCAGTGAAGCGGCTTACCACCTGGGACGAGAAGAGACATCAGCTCAACACTGATACACATCCTATAATTTAACAGCAATTAAGTGATAAAAATGACTGAATAATTAACATGCTTGCTTGTATTTTTCATCCAATGTTTTTGGTAACAGGTGTTCACAACATAACAACCCAGGAAATAGTGGAAGTCTTGCAATTGGTATCAAGGTCACGAATTGTAGTAATTATTTTCTATATATTTTGGATTCAGTAGACAGTGGTGGAAGAAGTACTCAGTTTTATTACTTAAGTAAAAGTACAGATACAGAGGCAAAACATAAAAGTCAAAGTACTGCATGAAAAAATCTACCTAAGTATTAAAGTACCCATTTAATAAGTATTTCTCACAGATTTCAAAGTGTTGTTAATTTAAAATGTTAAGTTTAAATGTTGTGATATTAATAAAAAATGAATTAATAAATTGTATGAATTAGTAAATTATACAGATTTTGGTCAGCAGTGCCAATATGAATCTGTTTCATAATTATTGTTATGAATTTTGTGTATTCATTTTTATTTGCTCAAAGCCGGAGCTTGAACTCAAAACCTTTAGTCAGGATGTTACAAAAAAAAATAATAAATAAAAATAATATCCATCATGTGAAAAGTACTATTTACTTTTCAGTCCTGTTAAAAAATATGTAGTACAGTAGAAAGTGCAGACACCTGCTCTCAAATACAGTGAAGTAAAAGTAAAAAGTAAAATTTGTAAATGTACTGTGTGTACTGTACTGTAAAATTTATAGTACAACAGATACCTCAAAAATTTTACTCAAGGACAGTACTTTACTACATGTACTTTGTTACCTTCCACCTCTGTTAGTAGAATAGCAGATTTGGTTGAGGTAACTCTAGCTATAAGGTCAGCATGGTGCCTCACAGCAAGAGTGCATTTGTGGTTCATTTATATCACTCCAACTTGTTATTTTGACAGTACTGAGGTTATGAATAATAGATTTAAAGACTGATTTGGACTGACTTTGAAGAAGTTTGGTACAGGCTACAAGGTTATGTGTCTTTCTTGTTTTTACTGAACAAAGTAACTTACTCTGTGGTCGACCTGAGTCATCCTTTTCCATTTTCCAGTCAGTATAAACTATTTCTCCATCCTAGCAATGAGCAAAACAAAATAGAACAAATGTTTATTAATTGGGCAATATATTCTGCGGTATTATCATTTGAAAGCCACAAAGTTCACCTCTGTTCCAACGTAAAGTTTGGTGTTAACATCTTTAAGTGCAGTGAGTGCTTTAGCTGAAGGTATTCTGAGTTCACTGTAGTCTGGAATGACCTTTGAACTTTCATCTTCATCTTCATCTGCGACAGAAAAGCAAAAACAATGCAGGATTTTGCCTGTATTTTGGGTCTACAGTTTGAAGCTTTCATTGGAAAATAATTATAACACAAATTTCCAAATTTTTCCAAAAGTATTTTTATGATGGAGCATATTGTTAGATGAATTTTCCAGTAGATACATGTTTGTATGCAGTTGTCTAATTGTAGCTCTACTGATCTTACTGCCTGCTTGAGAAAAAACTGAACTTATTCCTCAACTTTTCCTTTATGTACCAGATCTTTATTACAAAAAAATAAATTACTGAGAGAAAAGGTGGACATTAGATCAAATTATCAATATAATAGTATGTTTCTCAAAATGCTGCATTTTAAAAATAAAAACCAAACAAACTTTAAAATTAGCATTACTGTACTTTTTGTGTATTTTTTTTGCTGTGCTTCTGTTTTTGCTGTTTAAGTCTGAAACTTAAACCTCAACTAATTCATAACCCTCCCACCCATGCTGCGAAGTGAAGAATACAAATAAAGACTTTGAATTTTAGTAAGTGCGAAGACTGAGGAGAAGAAGCCTTTCCCACACAAAAGGCTGCCCGTCTGACTCTGATAGAGACACTGCAGCTCTATCTGTCCGCAGCCTCTTATCAGCAGGCCGCTCCCATTCAAGCCTGTGTCCCTGTTAAATTAACTTGGAAAGGGCAGTTCACACATCCTGCAACTTTTCCTGTTAAGATGGATGTAAAGATAGCCAACCAAATGGATAACATGGCTTCTTATATGGATTCAGCAAGTGTTAATGATTGGAAAGGATGACCAAAAGTACCGAATTTATCAGAAAGTGTACGTTATGCTATTTGTTGTAAGCTGAATTCTCAACTGATTACAGTGAATAATAAGGTAAGTGAGGAATAACTTTAGACCACTGCAAACTGTTTAAAGTGAACTAGTTCTGTTGTTCACGTTTTTAAGACCATAAAAGTCAAGGTACTGCGCCTTATTGGAAAAAATTAAGATTGGCAATAATAAATTAGCAATATTGGATACTACTCATACACGTATTTTCTTTCACTAGGGTGATAAAGAATAATAAAACAATATAAAAATACAACAGCACTAAAAAATGACAGCACAAAAAAAGACTAGTAATTTCCTCCTCATCAGGACCCACCCATTAGCCGAACCATATTAAACCGCATGGGGACTTCATTAAACCATAATAACAGTGTGCCTATGGGCTAGTGAAAAAAACAAGCAGTGGATTTATTGCCTTAGTTAGCGAGCGTATTAATTCTACAACCCCCAGTGGCCAAAGCTATGTTTACAGAGAGCGCCCTTTCACTGCACAAAGACAGGCTTCTTCTTGACCAGTCAGGACACACGCCGTCATCTTCTGAAGCACAGAGAGAAGGAGCAGCATATTGCAAAGAGCTGACAGTCAGTAAGGCTAATGCGCCGCCACTATGAGGGCCTTGTTTTGGACGTATCACTTAATATAGGCCTATGAAACTGGAGGAGAGATCAGGAAGACACAGGAGAGAGAGTATGTGGGTATGGTATAAAGACATTGAGTGAAGGCCTAATGAAATTAAATGAGCAGTCCACTTGAATAATCACAGCTTAAACTGGACAAACAAAAATAAATAGTGATAAAAAATAAATCGTATTACTATTATGTGTAACCGCTGGTGGGATTAGCAATACAAGAATTAGAATAGCCATTAAAACAAAAACTGACAAAGCAAGATATTAAACATGATAGGTAGTTTTAATTCCTGTTTAAGTTTAGACTTTTTATTTTTATATTACATTGCTTTGCCTGGAGTGTTTCACAGTATGGATTAATCTTTTTTTTTTATCTCCATGGAGACAAGTAGGTGGCACCATCAGGCGAATCTGCAGAGAGACGATTCTGTTCACAATAAGAATGCATGTTTTCAAGGTGTTTCTGTGCAATAAGAACACTTTTAATTGAATAAATGAAGATACAAGTTTAATGTCATACTGTGGAACATTTCAGGCAAAGCTGTAAGATTTAAGGTGGTGAATCTGCACGAGTTTTTGTAATATTTACATTGTTGGTATTATGCAATCATATATTTGGTCATGATTTAAATATTGTAAAATAGTGACCTCTTGATGCTTACTATCATGAAATTTAAATAATAATTTTCTCATTGACTCTCTGAGGCATGGAGGATCTGAGAGCATGAAAACTGCAGCTACAGCTATCTTCAGGTCAGAACTCCTCACCTGCGTTCTTTCCTCTCTTACTGGTACAGGTGTAGTCTTCAAAGCTCAACTTCAAAGGTGCGTATCCTCCAGTGGCTTCGATCTTTGGCACAGACACCTGACACATGACAGAGCAGAGGAAGGGCCGCTATCAAATCTAAAGGCCAGGCAGCTTTTATTAAAAATCTAATTAAGTAACAAGCATCTTTGTGTTGTGGTTTGATATCATAGGCTGTAATCAGGAGGAATTACCCGGAACAGTGGAGTCCATGTCCGGTCCAGGTGTTTGAATGTTTGAGGGGCACTGTAGGGAGACGTCTGATCCACTTTCTGCTTTTTGTCCGTCACAGATTGAGCTGGCAAGGTTGCTACCCTGATGTCCCAGAATAAAATGGAACTGGACAAGTAGAATATAAAGAATCACACTGATAAGCATTTTAACACAATATATGCATTAAAGTGTTTCTACAGAGGGTACCTGTCAGGGGAGCAAGTGACAATCTGAACTGCCATGTTATACTTGTTCTCTATGGGAAGTCCTGCTTTGGTCACCTAATTAGAAAGAAAGAGGGGCACGGAGCGAATAACCTTCCATCAGGTTTAAGGCCGCCACACACTACAAGATTTGCTGGTCTTAAACCATTTTTAAATGTGCAACAAAAAGCGCACACCACAGAAATCTCTGAGAGCAGGCTTCTGCCGGATATGGCTGCATACCACATGCTAGTCTTTGTGAGCTATGAGCGTGATCGCGTCAGCTGTTTCCAGTCTAGAGTAAAACGACTCGCTTTGGGACTCTTAAGTGTTCAAAAGGTCAGAGCACTGCACTTCTAGTTTAGATACAAGTCAGACTGTGTTATTATTATTTGTGAAATGCGGTGCAATACTTCAGACATATGATTTTTAATGCACAGAAGGCTGGTGATAAAGTACACAGGAAGTAGAGTCACTATTACTAATCTGCAGCTTCATCTCAATCTATGCATGTAAACAGACACGTGAGGAACTACTCTCACCTTTTTACTTTAAAAGAACACTTTAAACTATATTAACAGCGCTGTTTTGTGGACTGGGTGTCATTATTTATGGAGGACAAATTCTATTCATAATGTGGATGAGATGCAGCACTTGAAATTTACAATTTCATGAGGGGTGAATAATTTTCACTCTTTACTGAGTTTGTATCTTATGCCTCTGTGTCTGTCACTGTTATTGGCTGTTACCGTAGTGTAGCTGATGTTTGGTGACAAAGCAGCTCAGAGTCACACTGACATCACACACATGAGGAGCACAGCGGCTTCAAAATCATACACAAAGACACAAAGTCGGGTCACATCTCCCTGGACTCAGGGAGAAGCAAATTGCAGCCTAAATCTGGCAAATTCTCCTGTAATGTGTGGCGGCCTTTATCAATACTTAAAATAGAGGCATTTGTTTATGTTATAATAAAAAAAACAGTATTTTCCTAGGAGCACTTTGCTAATTGGCTGAATCTTCTAATTCAAATTCACATTTTGAAAATCATCATGGTAAGTAGCCAAATCAATTCTCTCAAAAAATTTGACATTGACATTATCAAAAGTATGTCGACCTGATGAAAGACTAGATGAAGTGTGCTTCTGTCAATCAATATAAGTAAAGTAAAATCACTATGTAAAGTATCAACTCTATGACACTGGCTCAAGTCACATGTGCAGTAGATCCTTCCTGCAGTCCCTCAGCTTATATCTACCTCAAATGTTGTTGGCAGCCACTGGACATCAGTAATTGGGCCTTTGTATCTCTTCTTTAAGGCAGACATAGCACAGTGCTGCACAGACATCATATTCTCTTTGCTGTCGTCCAGGCCCTGGAGGGAGACACACATACACAGAGTACAGGGAGTTGGATTTTACCATTGAGTTTGGTGCTTTGAGAAAACCTGACATGCTTTTAAAATGTGTTATTATAATCAAAGATGTGATATGAAGAATTTGTAGACATCATTATCATGTTACATAAATGTGAGATCTACACTTCTGCATCATTCATTCAGTTGAATTAGGCCAATTTGCATAAAAAGTTGCATCTGCTGCAAATGTTTTGCAGCAAATATGTCCTTCTGTGAAGTCTCTGGTTGTACAAAACAACCCATTTGTCAAATGTAAGTAATACAATACATAATTTATGTTAAATACAATTATTCAACCTTTAACCAGATATATTTCAACTACTGCTTTAATATTATGACCCACTGTACTCATGTGAACACAGCCCAAATCTGCAGAGAAAGATTGTAATTGCGTGCTTCACTGATAAGCTTGCAACAGGTGCTTGGCGAGCAGGGTTTTCTCAGCTCGATGCATCAATGTAAAAAGCTTTTAGCCGATAGCATTGGCTGATGTTTACAGCGCAAACACAAAGCTGAACTGATTTCCATGTGTGCTATGGAGGGTTTGTGTAACAGCTGGACCGTGTGAGCCCATGCTGTTGACTCTGGAGAATGAAGCGCAAACAAGGACAAAGAGAATAAAGGGAGGTCCGAGGGGTGGGAGAGGAAGAGGCAATAGAGGAGGAAGTATAGAGCAGAGTGGGAGCAGGACAGCTGCTCCACTGTAGAGCCCATAAAACACACAAAGCAAATGAGGGCTGCATGATAGGGGCATATGTGCCCATTTCAATTAGTCAGCCCAGTGGAGGATGTCATGGAGGGTCAGGCTTTATAAGGGGTAATATAACACTAAAGACTGGTGCTCTGGAGATGGGCACTAAAAAGTTTTTAATGTTTTGATTTTAGAACAATGTGTATTTGTACTTGGCCTTGTTGTGAGGTTGTAAATAACATCTACAAAATTAGTTCTGCATCTTCATTAATAAATGGTATTCACCTGGTAAGTTAGGATCATGTTAGACAAATTTCTTTGGGTTAGGAAGTACACTTGTCATATTCAAATGAAATATGTGATTTACTTTTTTTTTTTTTTTTTTTTGCTGTAGCTTTCCTGACACAGAGTGCTTTGATGTGTAATGATCGTGATTGGTAAAGTAAATTCTGGTGCACACTTAACTTTCCCCTTGGTTTGAAAGGGTGGGCAGTAAAACCAAAATGGATGGTAATGGGTAATGTGTTATTCCTTAATGAAAATCATATTTTCAAGTTTGAACTGACAAGTGCCTTTGTTATTATTGCTGTAATGTGTTACCTTTAGCTAGTTCTGCTATTAGGTCTCAACATCTTGCTTTCATATGCGCACTACATTATAAGACCATTTATGGGTTTACATTTGACAGTTTATTACAGCTTGTGGATGATTAAAAAGCAGCATTAGGGTCTCATATTCATATTTAATGACAGAGTAGACATGCAAAAGAATCCAGTGAACATATGATCATCTCTAAATATGCCTGTCTTTTTTGAATGAACCACAGTGACATCATCAGCTGCCCCCAAAGGACTTCAGGAGTAACTGAGAACACATGTACAGTTTAAAATGATACAAAATACTAGACTTTTGTACTTGGATACTTCTACTTACAAAAGCTTTAGTGTTGACAGACTCCTTTCTCCCACCAGGCTGTATTCCTTGTAAATGAGTGACGTACGCAGAGATGTCCCATAAAACTAACTGAAAAGAAAGCGCGTAGTTCAGACAAATACCGGATACATCATGACATAACAGTGTAACATAATAGCGGTTGTAAACTATGACTGCAATGTACATACAAGGGAAAAGTAACAGTTGAATCATTACCTGGCCATTTGCGCAGCCACCCACAATAATGTTAGGATCAGACGGGGAAAATTCAAATACTAAAACGTCATTAGGGCATTTTAGTAACAACTGTAAAACAAAATACAAAACTAAAATGACAACAATTAAAAAACATCTGATTTGTTAAAAATAGAAATGTAATAAAGAACATACTATTACTGTTTCATTAAAGGTGCACTGTGTAACTTTTTGATTGTTTGTCACCTGCTTATTTCTATGAAGATGTCATTTCCCTGCCTGAAATGTTGCACAGTATGACATTAAACACCTCTACTTTACATTTATTCAATTACAGGTGGTTTTTATAGCCTCACAAAATCATTAAAAAAAAACAAGAATTCTGACTGTGAGCAGGGTTGCCTCTCCACAGATCTAGCATCTAACTTGGCCTGGTTTGGTACTGATAAAGATATAATGGTTGAATACCATACTGGGAAACATTCCAGACAAAGCAATCTCCACGGAGAAAAGGATTTGACAAACCCTCGAGCAGAAAAGTTACACAATGCACCTTTAACATTACCTGTGGCTTATGAAGTATATGATATGATCAAATGTTATAAGGTTTTATTCACAATTACAGAAAAAAGGTACATAATCTGGTATCTCGGGGTCTTGTTCACGAGTGAGGGGAGGATGGAGCGTGAGATTGACAGGCGGATCGGTGCGGCGTCTGCAGTGATGCGGTCGCTGTATCGAACCGTTGTGGTGAAGAGGAAGCTGAGTCGAAAGGCAAAGCTCTCGATTTACCGGTCAATCTACGTTCCTACCCTCACCTATGGTCATGAGCTCTGGATAATGACCGAAAGGACAAGATCGCGGATACAAGCGGTCGAAATGAGTTTCCTTCGCAGGTTGGTTGGGTGCTTCCTTAGAGATAGGGTGAGGAGCTCAGTCACACGGTAGGAGCTCGGAGTAGAGCCACTGCTCCTCCACATTAAGAGGACCCAGTTGAAGTGGCTCGGGCATCTGTTTCGGATGCCTCTTGGACGCCTCCCTCGGGAGGTGTTCCGGGCACGTCACATCGGGAGGAGGCCCCGGGGAAGACCCAGGACACGCTGGAGGGACTATGTCTCTCGGTTGGACTGGGAACGCCTCGGGATCCCCCTGGAAGAGCTGGAGCAAGTGTATGTGGAGAGGGAAGTCTGGGAGGCCCTTCTCAGACTGTTGCCCCCGCAACCCGACCCCGGATAAGCGGAAGAAAATGAATGGATGGATGGATGTACATAATCTAAAAACGTTTTATATTTACATTTGTTCATTTTGTTCACCTGCCAATTATCGAATAATAAAGCAAATTGAGCTTCGTACTAGGTTGCCACATCCAACTACTAAAACCAGTTTGTAATATATCTAAAAAGTCTCTCTGTGATATGATATGTCGACCATACATTATAGCTAACGTCATCCCAGGTCACCACTTTGACACCAGTATTTTGCAGCTGTTACTTTTAAGATTTATTGTATTGCTACTAAAATTTCACTAGCGTGCTCTGGATAGTATTTTATTTTGTTAGACGACTCCAGCAGACAGCAGTGAAACCAAAGCATGACTAATAAGCCCTACGTCATTCAGAACTCACGTTACCTCTGGGAGATTTAGAAGATCAGTTTTATTGATTAAGTGTCTGGGTTAAATCAATTCAGTGTCTCAAATTCCTCTTCAGCAAATAGTGCTATCAAATGACAATGCACAATTCTCAGTAAAGATGGATGATAATTAACTTTAGTAATTATAGTAAAATAGTCTTGTATTCCCTCACAAAATCATAACCTTTGGTTCTTAGTTGCTTATGTAGTAAGTGTGCTGCTATATTTTATACTTCCAACACACTTAAATCTTTGTATTGAATTCTATCAAAGGTACATAAAAAGTAACTTCAATCTGATTTGATGTTTAATAATAAAACTGTTAGATGCAGATAGTGACGCAACTTGTCCATAACTATTACAACACTGGTTTTGTCAAACCTAACAGGGTAGAACATTAAAAGTCTTATATTACACAAAATTGACCATGTTATAATGCTTTTTTACCTTATCAAAAACACACAAACGTGTGTTTTATTCACACATTTGAGTAACCCTTTATTATTAGTTTCTCTACATATGTGAAGCGCAAAATTCTCTGTATCCACCTTGTGATGTCATAACAGCTACCTTTTACCTTTAGTTCACCAGAGATGGGTAATTCCAGGACTGAAATCATCCAAATGATTCTAGTGAAGATGCTATGGAATTTAAAAACACGATGGAGCACGTCCTGTATTACCACATGAAATCACATGGTGGAAAAGAGTGTTTTCTGTTTAAGAGAAGAACTCAGCCAAAAAAAGGATTTATGTGATAAACATGTGTGAATGAAACAAAACACAAGTTATGCTTGTGATGAGGAAACAACATTATAAGAGAGATCAGAAAATAGCATAAAATGGGCCCTTTAAACTGTATTTGAATCATCTTTGTACCTGAGGTGTACAAGGATCGGCAAAGCTGTAGAAAAGGATGAAGGAGGGCGTCACTGGTTTTTGGAACTTCTTCTCTGCACTTTTTGTTGTGGAGACAGCTAGAACACCTAAAAAGGAAAAAGTATAGAGTATAGAGTATATCAGCAAAATAAAAAGTAAAAACTAAGCAACTATGAGACAGTTTGCCGTTTACCATAGATAGCTGGGTGCCAGTTTATGCAGCTAATCTTTTTATCTTTAATGTACTTCTGGTCGGTAAAGGTCTGATGTAGCACTAATCCTTCTGTAGCCTTCACGGGGAAGTCACCCTCGTCGTGGTCCGTGCCCTGAGCTTTCCAATCATCACAGAACACATTTGCAATAGTTTCCTGTTGAAGCACATGCATGACCCTGAAAGAACATACAAATTTTACTAGTACTCAAATATACAGTTCTTTAAAGCTAATTATATTTACTCCAACCTACCTTGGAGTGACTAAATCCAAGAAGTTCTTCATACTTTCCGACTGGAGGAGCTGTTTGCTTTCCCCACACTCTAAACGTTCAGGCTCATACTGTATGCACATGTTTTTCTGATGCTTCCTGTAGAAATAAGTAAGGGGGTTTGTTATGAATAAATATTGACCTAGGCACACATTTTAGAACATTACAAATCCATAAATACATTAAATATATGAATAAGAATCTGTATCTATGTGTTTTTGTAGTGTTTATATATACATAAATACAGATAGATATATACATACATACATATATATATGGGGATGTTGTTGCTTTGACTGGAATGATTCATACTAAAGCATTGAACATCGCATTTTTATTTAATTACAGGCACCTTGAAATTTTGCATTCTTACTGTGAATTGGTGCCTCCACACAGACTTGTAACTTGGCCTGGTGGCTCTCTACATGGAGATAAGTAAGTACAATGCCATACTAAGGAAATTTCAGGCACAACAACAATAACATTTCCATAATGTTGTTTGCTTTTCTGGTGGAGGGTGTACCATCTGCTTGTTTTTATGGTAACTGTACTATTCAACAATATTCAGATTGATTGTTGCATTGACGTAACCTCTAACCCTATATTTTATCAATATGTGTCCTGCAGTGTTCTAACAAGCTACTATGCAAACAACAGCTCATACATATTTGAACATTACAACACAAGTTATATTCTCTCTATTATAGCCATACATTGATATAGTTAGCCCCAGGAGACACATTAGCGGTATTTAGCTTGTACATTCTGATCTGGCAGCCTACCACAGTGTCTGAGTGCTGCTGCCGTGGAGCTGGGGCACTGCCTGCATCCCTGCGTCCCTCTGCAGCTGTTTAATGCTGAATCTGCTGTCCTGGTACGAAGCACACTCCAGGAAGCCATCTTTAACATCTGCAGCTCTGCGGTCAGAGAAGCGCACGGCTGCGCCAAACTTGTGTCGCACTCGGGAGAACTTGAAACAGACCTACCAATAAAAAACAGGAAATGTGAATGACAGAGGCCATTTTCTATTATTTAAAGATGCACTATGTAACTTTTCTGGTGGTTTTCTGGTTGCTTGCCTAATGGAGATGTTACAGCTTTGCCTGAATGTTCTAGAGTATGGCATTCAACTTATGTTTCATGAAGACAAGTTACAGGTCAGATCTGTGGAGAGGCAACCCTGCTCACAGTAAGAATGCATATTTTTTAAGGTATTTTTAAGAGATAAAGAGACATGTAACTGAATAAATGCAAGATATATTTAAGAACACACCAGGCAAAGCAATAACATCTCCATGGAGACCAACAGTTAGTGGACCCTCAACAATAGAAGTTACATAGTGCACCTTTAATAATACATGTAAATCGAGGTATGCAGTACCTTTTCTTTCGTATCTCTGACAGACTCTTCTTCTATCTCTAACTCGCTGCCAAGAGAGACCCAGGGCTTAGGTTCTGGGGTTTTACATATTTCAATAACAGACTCCACTGGTGTAGGAGGTTTTGGAGGCTGTAGAGGACAAAAAGGGATGATTCATTTCACATGGTTTATCTTTTTCAGGACAGGATTTGTTTAAAACATGAATGAAAATAAACTTGTACAAAATAAACAAAACACCACAATAAAACAAAAACTCACATTGAGTAATTTGTCCTTGGCTTCTGGTGTGAGAACCAGATAGAAGCTCTGACCGTAGGTGAAGTCTCTGTCATACACCAGCAACAGTTCATCTTCTGGGTAGTCCTAACAACAGAAATAATAGTTTATATGTTGAATGTGACAATATCTTTTGGGTTTATTCCAAAAAGTACTTCCTTCCAGTGGATAGTGATTTGCTTATTGTTTTGTAATGGGTTTTGCATTCCTTCCTGTTACATCCTGTTTACCACTTATAACAAAATTAATTCATTCACTGCTGAAAAAACTTTTGTTTAATCTAAGTCACTGAATCTGAGTTGATATTAAGGATAATACCTCATATTTGACACTCAAGAACACTGGTTTTATTTATTCAAGACAAAATATTAGTAGTTTATTTAATATTATCACATGGTCTTATTCTAGTTTTGATATAGATCACAATCATACAGAACTATTCAAGAGTCTAAATTTGTCCGATTCATGAATTGTTGTTGTTGTTTTTTTTTAATTATTATTATTATTATTATAAAGAATTTGTTGAATGGAAGACTATCAGTAGGCTTTGTTATTGGTTTAACTAGTCACTGTTCCCACAATTAACTCAAAGTGGTGGTCTAAGCAGTGATGTCAGAGTATCCTGAGATCATTGTCTGACAGGTGCACATGACAAAAGCCCACCCTCACCTGAACGCTTTTCTTCACGAGGCTGAAATCAGACAGGGCTGCTCGGTTCTTGATATCCTGCAGGATGTCGTCCTTTAGCAGCAGCTTGTAGGGACTGTCTCCTGTCACATCCTCGTCGGCTACACAGTAAAACAGCTCCTGGGTCACGGAGGTCAGGTCCAGCGGAAAAAAATCTTCAGGGTGTTCTTAGTCAGGAATAGTAGAGTTAGAAGAAATACAATAACAAGGGTTGTGTCTCTTTATTGCAAATAGTGCTACTAAGTTTTTATTATTTAGCAAGGTCATAGCATAGGAGCAATGCATTTAGTACGATAGCAAAAACAACTTAAGAAATGCAAAATGTGCTTTTATATATTATTATACAAAGTTGCTTAAAACCAAAAATTATGCTTAATTAATCTAAAATTTTGTGTTTTTCTGTATTCATTCTAATATGATATAGGTTAAACTTTACCAACATAGCAAGAAAAAATGCTGATGAAAAGTATTGGTAAAAATAAAATAAAAAGTAAAAGTGTTTAAATATGTTATACCAAGTTGTTTTAAACCAAAAATCAAATCTAAAAATATGTGTGTTTCTGTTCTAATAAACATCTCTATTCCACTAGGATACAGGTTTGGCATGAACTGTCAAAGTGAAATTTAGTAAGATTACAAATGTGTGACATACACATATATTGTAAAAAGTATGAAAGGAGGGTAAGAGAGGGGAGAGACATTCAGTAAATTACCAGAGCCAGGTATCAAATTCATAAGATACAGACACAGCGCTCGTCATATTTATTACAGTCTAGACCATTGCTATTAGACAGCATTGTTTATGGTCAGATTGTGTTAAACAAAACTCAGATTAAAGTCTAACTTAAGTATCAGAGCTTCAGACAGAGCAGTGCCTACACTTAGCAACACATGATCAGCTGAAAAGTATCAATACATTTTATTCAATGTTTTTGCTAGCATATCCTATGAGACACAATTATGCCCCCGCTGTCTGATCATCAAACGCAGTGCACCTCTGATCTTTCGAAACCCCTCCCTGAAGTCTGGACCACCCCACATCAGTCTCACAAGATAAAACGCTCTCCCAAAGTACATACTGTCCAAAATGTGCGGAAGTGGCTCTGTTATAGTCTGGCATGCAAAAACACAAATCTAGGATGCTCGGTTACTTGGCATACTGTATTTCTGCCACCCAACCCACAACAACACAACAATGAGTCTATACGCCATAACATAGGTTCTTTCATGAATACTCTTTAGTAAACATTAGCTTGTACATAATGAGTGCTTGTGGTCTAGCTCTTCAAAGCCTCTTCACCAGGTTGCACAGGGGACTGGGCAGACTCAAGTACAGTTTAAGTAATCACTTCCAACTGGGTGTGTCAACGTTCCCTGGTCACACCATTCAGGCCCTATGCCAGTTCATTGTAGTGGAAAATCACACCCTTCATTTAACCCAGGCTATGTGTCAGTGGTACATGCCACTCACATTCAAGTGAAGGATTTGCTTGAGAGACAAATAGTGATGTTCAATGTCCCATAGCCCTCAAGAATGTAATTAGCAGAGAGCGTGCTGAATGACATTTTTATTCTGTGTCGGGATGTTTTCCGTTTGAGAGGGTCTTTAAAGCTTGGCATTTTGACCACTTGTTTATGGTAGATATTTTCAAGCATATTTTATTCTGAAAAAAAAAAAAAAAAAAAAAAAAAAAAACCTCCCACACCATACACCATACCCCTCTCTCTACCTGCAAAACATACACAAACTACATTAAAAAAACACACTAACTAGATACACAAACATCAAATATCAGTCAAGTCCAGTTATGTCAAAAACTTAAAAAAAAAAGGTAGCACTTCAAAATAATAGCAAATTTTGAAATACTGTTTTGAATGTATATATATATATATATATATATATATATATATAATATATATATATATATATATATATATATATATATATATATATATATATATATATAATAAATATATAAGTAGGCTATACTGTTCAGAACAAAAAGTGCTGCAAAAGTGAGCTGAGACTTGATGCAACATTTTAATGGAAAAATACTTAACCAAAACCATTCTTTCTCCTGATGGTTTAACAAAAGATCGTGTTAATATCGTTATCAGGATATATATATATATATATATATATATATATATATATATATATATATATATATATATATATATATATATATATTTTTTTTTTTTTTTGTCAGTATCATCTACCATTGCTACTACTATTTTGTTTTGTTTTTTTGCTGATATGATTATACATTACAGTAAATCATCCTTGTAGTCTAAGAATATGCCTTAACAATCCTGTGTGATCAGTTTCTTTGTCAATGCAACTTTACCATTATATAACAGAGAAGAATTCGGGAAAATAAAGCACTAATCGACTTCACTGCCATTTAAGTAACTCTAAGCGATGCCTGAATAAAACAATGTGTTAACCTACCATGTTTCTCAACTGCTTCTGGCACCTTAGCTTTTTTTCCTAAACGCAAATGCCATTGGGTTAGCTTACCTTCACTACACTCACATGCAGAATCACATTAGCTGAGTGCTTTTATCATCACTAACCTTTCCCTTTCACCTTACTGCCTGCTTTAGCCTTGGCTTTCTTGGGAGACATGCTGAATCAAATCAAGTGGAAAAGGAGAGGAGGAGCTGTCTATGGTAGCCTACCTGAAAACAAATGAGCTTACACAGATCACCGTCAGAGCTGTTCAGAGAAAAACATCGCCTATGCAGGTGGCGACATCTCTTGGACAATTAGAGAAATGCAAGAAATGTATAGTTATTTGCAAACACTTTTACTTCTTATCTGAGGACATTTAAATACGTAAAAAAAAATTTGCATCATATAAAAGTATGCGACAATAACGTTAGCTAGAGAAAAGTGACTAATTGTGCTAACTTAAAGACACCAAACATATTTAAATACAGCATGAAAAATATTTGGGTTGATTTAACCTGTTATTAAGTTAATCTAATGTCAAATCTGCAAAAAACATAATCATATAATGCAGTTTTACCGGTTTCTTCGACCATAGTAGTTTGTTGAACTCCACGCTTCCTACTCCACCAGACGGCAGCACGTTTGTTTGGTTGCCACGGGTTACGAGGGTGGTGTTAAAATTGACTGACAGATTTAACAGCCAATCAGGAGCCAGCAATAAAGTGACGTAGCAATAGTCACCTGCCAGAGCTGTCTCCTGTGTTGAGAAGTTTTCAGAGAGAACAAAACAACGCTGTAAAGTTTTGAAGTGTTGAATTGATAAACGATGCAAGGAAAAATTAGGAGTTAAGGCGTGGGATATGCTTTACAATTAAACTACAGCAATCTGACAGGTAGACAGGTAGTTAGTAACAATTTCATCTACAAGTTGGAGAGTTCATTCTAAGTAAGTGACCTTTTGCTTTTTACTTTGTTTCATCAAAATTGTGAAATCTGTTTATTTAAGTAACTTGAATATGTGATAATCTGCAGTTTTGCTTGCTTTTATGGGAATTTAGGCTATAGGGTTTCAAGATCTTTCAGGTAAATAATTAAACACAATAGTCACACACCTGACTTCCTTGTTCAGCCAAGTCATCATTCTTTAAAACATCTACTGGTTTTAAACATGTTTCCTATAAATCACATAAAACAAGGAAGGCAGTTTCAAATTATAGTGCAGTTATGGAAAAGGCTATGCATATGCTCTGTCAAACCAGGTGCTTAAGAACACACCCAAAGCAAATCCTGTCTGTTGAAAGAGACTACATTTTCCAAATCTTGTGACCACACAGGCTGTTTTGTCATGTTTCCCCTTTTCCACAGTCTGAAAATACAACTTTTTCCATTTGCTCTGGAAAGTATGGGTATAATGCAGTAATGACATTATTATTATTATTATTATTATTATTGAATTTCTCACACAACCTGGCTGTTATGCAAAATCATAACTACTGCAGATAAACCAAACTCACTTGTAAGAAATTGTTAAGGTGTGACTCACAAAAAAACCAAAACAGACCAGCTAACCTGTAGAGTGACATTCTTCTATTTCTAGCAATCTCCAGTTTATGTAATCTTACAGTGTCATAAATAATTTTCTGATGCAGGGAAGTTCACCAGATCATCAGATTTGCTGCTATGGAGGAATCTACAGACCCATATGAAGACTATGGGGTCAACGGTGACGCATTTGTACAAGAGAAGCAACAAAATCTCAGAAGAAAAATCAAATATTATTTCATGAACCCTTGTGAAAAGTTCTACGCTCGTGGACGGAAACCCTGGAAACTGTTGCTACAGCTTATCAAAATTGTCATAATTACAGTTCAGGTCAGTTATCATAAAAATTATTAACAAAATATTATGTTTTAAAGGTTGCTTATCACAGGAAGCTAAAACCAATGAAAGGGTTAGGTTATTGTCACATTAAATTTCTCCAGAGGTTTTTAACAGGCCTTGTTCTTGTTTTCTAGTTGGTCTCATTCGGCCTCAGTAATCAGATGGTTGTTACTTTCAAAGAAGAAAACCTGCAAACGTTCAAGCACCTTTTCCTTAAGAATTATGAAGATGGAAGCATGGACACCTACGCTGTTTACCGACAGGCAGATACATATGAGCACATTGATTATATTATTGAACAGGTATTTCATCTTCATGTAGTTTAAATATAGGGTGTGTTCACACTTGAACTTAGATGACATAAAAACTGTGACTAAACTGAGAGTAAACTCACAACTAAACCTGGACTAGACCAGCAAATAAACCATGACTAGAACAGGATCAAATCAGGTCTACATCAGGACTAAACTGGACTCAGACCAGGACCAATTCAGGATAAGTTTGAACCTATGTACCCCTATGTAAGCATGTGCATTAGCTCTTACTTGAACAGTATATTAAAGTATAATAACTTTGTTTTTGTAGTATAAACTGTTGCATAACACAACAGTTGGAAACCATGAGTATGAGAAAAATGGAACGCAATACACCCCATTGGAATTATGTCAAGCCTATTACAGGAATGGCACTATATACCCTGGGAACGAGACCTTTGAAATAGATGCAGATGTGCAAAACGGTAAGAACATTTCATTTCTTGTACCTGTTGTAATCCAGTCTTCACAGTTGAAGGAGAAATTCAATTCTGTCAACTGGACGACTGAGAGATTACACAAACATCTTCACACTTAGGCATGTTATGATATTATTATGGTATTACAGTTATCATCGTCAAAATAATTGCAATGAACAATAATTTCTCAACAATTATTATAACTGTTGACCGTAAAATGTTAAGGGAATATACTCAAATGACAATATTATAGTTGCATTGCATTTGTAGTGAAGCTTGTTTCCATGGAAATAGTATTGCATTGTCTAGAATGTTCCACAGTAAAGACTGAATCTATGACGAGGGAGACAAGCAGGTTACAGCACTACCCTACATTACAATTCAGATCTGTGGAGAGTCGCCCCATTCACAGAAGGAATTATTGTGTTTTTGAGCAATAAACAACAACAACAACAAAAAAAGCTAGATGCTAGACAGATACATGTAATGTCATATCATGGAACATTCCAGGGAAAGGAAAAACATCTCCATGGAGACAAGTGGGTAGTGGACCGTCACTCAGAAAAGTAGCGCAGTGCTCCTTTAAGTAAAAAAAGCACAAAATTGTATTGAATTGTATTGGATAAGTAGCTTTATCTTCACAGTGTGGTGGTGTAATGAAGTTATAGTTGTTGCAGATTTTTACAATTATACAAAACCACAAATACCATACCCAACTATTTGCTTCCTTTTTTTATTACATTTAGTAATCTTGTTGTTTATTATTCCATTCCTTCTCTCACACCACTGTGAAAAAGGGTAATTGATTCTCATAATGAGTTCATGTTTTTTGTTGCTTTTACAGACTGTCATAACTTTTATCCAATGTATCCAAAATTGCATGACCATCTCCCTAATTTTGAACTGTATTTTAAAAGGTAAGTAAAGCAGCTCTGTAAATATTTAAATTTCATACCCAGAAATATATTTTTGTATGCTATGTTTCTTTCAGAATGCTCACGGTCAGCATAAAATTTGTTCTAAAGGCCATAAATTTACAGACTGTACGACACAGGGAGCTGCCAGACTGCTATGATTTCACTGTTGAGGTAGGTGACATTCTTTTGTTTGTGTGCATGGGAACGTGCTGTTACTGTTATTTTTAATTTAATTTAAAATGTATTTTAATCAATTACATTTTCTCTTTTTCTTATCTTACATAGCCATCTGCATATTTAAATCTTTCCTAGATTCCTAGATTTCCAGATGACATGGCTATTATGCAAAATCATATCTACAACAGATCAACCAAATTCGTTTGTCCCCTTTTTCCCATTTTGCATAGTGGTCTGCATTTAAATCGTAAAAAGTTAAAGTTCTTAAAGATAATAGTTCTTTTCCATTGTCTGAAAGTTAACTTAATATTTTCACTGTAAATACATTATTATTTGCAGATTATTTTTGACAACCAAGCTCACAGTGGAAGGATAAAGATAGATCTTGATACAGATGTAGAAATCAAAGAATGCAAAGACTGGAAAGTCACCGGAGCAAGTAAGTTTGCATCAGGATTTGCTTCTATACTCTTGCTCTATATTCAAAGTTAATGTTATGTTCTTTCCTCAGCCGCAAGAAACATGACCCTGACCGTGCTGTTTGACTGCCTCATTATTATTACATGCCTTACTTCCTTGAGTCTGTGTCTCCGCTCGGTTCTCTCTGGGATTCGACTACAAAAGGTATAAGATCACTTTTTAAAAAATATTGCACTTTAAAATCATAACAATATCACGTTTTCAAACACTGCTAGTGTTACTGTGCAATCATTATTGTCATATTAACACTAAACAAATACATTTGCACATCAGCTAAACTGAAAAGAAAACAATTGTGGTCCATGTAGTTGTATGCAACAATCAAAATTAAAATTGTGATTTCAGTTATTACTGTATTCAATTACAAATGATGGCTAAAATGTGATGCATGTCTCCAAGCAGCAAAACCATGAAAAGCTATGAAAGGAAGTGGACAGAATTTTTCATTTGGAATTATTTAATAATAATATAATTAACATCAGTCTGTAAATCAGATATTTTTTTAGACCAGCCAAGAAGGCCTTGCAGGCCCTGACAGCCCACCACTGAATAAAACATAATTAGGTTTATAATTTCTCTGCAGGTTAATTCTGACAGTGTAGAAGAAATCATTTGAAATAACTTTCAATTATGAGCCAAATAATTAATGTTATTAAATTATTTATATATATATATATATATATATATATATATATATATATATATATATATATATATATATATATATATATATATATATATGTATATGTATATATGTATATGTATATGTATATATATATATATATATATATATATATATATATATATATGTATATATATATATATATATATATATATATATATATATATATATATATATATATATATATATATATATATATATATATATATATATATGTTTTTATTAGTTAATATTATTTATTTTTGCCATTACGAGGCACCCGTTTAGTTGCCTATTCATGTCACCTCTGCAACACTGCGTTTTAAGCCCCTTCCATTACAGTCTTCTTAACCCTCTATCTTAATTTCTTAATACTTACTACTGCTCCTTCTGAATTTACACAGGAGTACAATCAGTACTGCAAGAGCTACACCCTGAGAGAGGTCCCCTGGTCTGAAAAGATGGAGTTTGTAAATGGATGGTACATTCTCATCATTACCAGTGATACGTTGGTGATAATTGGTTCCATTCTTAAAATTGAGATACAAACCAAGGTAAATGGTAAAAACGTAAAAATAATATTGTAAATAATATCGTACATCATGACACCTGATTTTCCATATGTTGTTTTTGTAGGTCCTTACAAGCTATGACGTCTGCAGCATCTTCCTCGGAACAGGAACCATGTTTGTTTGGATCGGTGTGATCCGTTACCTGGGATACTTCAGAAAGTATAATGTAAGCAGCCAAGCACTAATACAGTAGATTAGGTGATGTTATTTAAATCTTTATATTGTTGACGTATGCTTAGGCTGAAACGAGTAGTACTGATTCACTGCATTTGTTTGCATAATTGTTTGATTAACAAATTAGTTGACGATTATTTAAAGTTTTGCTATCTTGTCTATGCAAAACATGCCCTGACTTGAGAGAGGTGCTAAAAGCTTTTATGACACAAAGAACTACTTGTATCAAAATTACACAGGAGCATGCACAAAATAAGCTTTTTTGATGAAAAGCCTATTTTGACTAATCCATTTGCTCTTTATTTATGTCTTTTTCAGATTCTCATCTTGACACTACGGGCAGCCTTTCCTAATGTAATCCGCTTCATCTGTTGCGCTGGCATTATCTATATTAGTTACTGTTTTTGTGGTTGGATTGTCATCGGTCCATATCATGAAAAGGTACTACTTACTTCCAAATTTGTTTTTTTAAATCAAATGTAACTTTTCTGGAGGATAGTCTTCCACTTGTTTGTCTCCATGGAGTTATTCCTTTGCCTGGAATGTTCTACAGTTTTTGACAAACTTCTCCATCATACGCTTCGATTACAGATGTATTGTTGTTAACTGAAATACCTTGAAAAACCTGCATTCTTACTGCAAGCAGGGTCAGCTATCCATAAATCTGATCTGTAAGTTGTCCAGGTGTTTCTCTCCTAGGATATAGCTAGTAGGTTTAATGCTCCAGGCAAAGGAATCACCCCAGAGACAAGCAAATGGCACACCATCCATCAAAAAGTTAACATAGTGCACCTAAAATGCAAAAACTCACTTGTACTTGTACTTTCAGTTTCGTACGTTGAACACGGTATCCGAGTGTCTGTTTTCTTTGATCAATGGAGATGACATGTTCCCCACATTTAAAGACATGGGGCAGAAGAGCAGCCTGGTGTGGGTCTTCAGCAGAGTTTACCTGTATACCTTTGTGTCTCTCTTCATCTACATGGTGCTCAGCCTCTTCATCACCATCATCACCGACACATATGACACCATCAAGGTAGATATATTTACACTGACAACATGTAGTGTGGGCCCACTATGATAATTTGTACCCAAGGCCCAGAGCTCAACAGTAGCACCAACTTTAAAATCTGTTGTGGTTTCTGGAAATTTCCCATAAATTTTTCCTATTAATATATCAGAGTTTAGAGGCATGACACAGGCTTACCAGCTGTGGTAACCAATATCTGTAGCAGAGTTATTTTCTGTCTAAAAATAAATGTAATGCTTAAAATTTGGGGAAATGTTTTAATAACTTGGCAGTTTATAAAGTAAAGAGAATTATTGTGGGGTCTATATGTGGTAGCTGGTTCAGAGCAAACTTCTAAACTTTTAATATTAAATATATTTGTATTTATTTAAAATTTTGGGTGAATTCTATGGGAAAAATGAATGTGGAGCTGCTTCTTGAACAAACCACCATGGCCACTGTTGAGCTCCAGTGGGGCTGTACCACTTTAGTTCAGTTTAGTCTAGAAAATATACTGAACTGAAATAGAAAAAGTAATTTGTTAAATGATAAGATACCGGGGTGACAATTTACACTATACCATATTGTATATACTACCCTTGTCCATTCTAACGCCCTGTAGTAGGCTGTAAGACACAAATGCTTACTATAGATAGAGTCAGATAATTTCCTGTTTAAATTTCTTTCTCTCTAAAACTGTACAAATAAAATTATGCCTGTTATGTAATTTCTATTTTCAGCAACAGCAGAATGGAATTCCAACCTCGGCTCTTCAAAAGTTTTTGTCCGAGTGCAACGATTTACCAAACTCGGGTGTATACAGACTTGAAGAGGACAAAAACTGCTTTGTAAAATGCTGCATTGATCCAAGACTATGGTAATGCATAATTAGATCTTTCTTAGCCATTTTTTTTTTAATAAGTTGTAAATGCGTGGGTTTGATCTGGGTTAAATTTTACAAAATGTTATGCATACTGGGCCCAATAATCTCTTTCACATTGACACTTGAGTATTTTGAATATTTAGTTTTCTCAGCTGCTGAAAAATATATTTATTTGAAAGAATAACATAACTAAAAAAATTTTCTTCCTATTTTCCCCCTTTCTAGGTTCAGAAATCCTGACGAGTCACTGGTGTCAGATGCATGATTTTGTTGCCGTGGAAACAATTTGCACAGTATGTTATGTTGCATAGTGAACCTGATTACCTCAATATGATCATATGTATTACTCAATTTATGTCTCAATAATCTGGAGTTAAAGCAGAATAAAGTAACATGTTTACCTTATTAAACACCTTTGTAAGTCCCAGTGATTGTTAAATATGATGGGACTTATATAGTAGTGTAAATATTTTCTGTGTATTTGGGGGTGCAGAGGGAGTTGTCGGCAATGTTAAATGTTTGTGTTTGCTGTGTTTCAGTATCATACTCAGTCTTATTTGATGAAAAAACAAAAAAAAGTTCTGTTGAGTCTGTATCCTGACAGAATTCTCCCTACAACTCCCTTATGATAATGCACTATTGCTGAAAGTTGCTTAGTACTAATAGTGTTCGATGGTTTGATGCACTGACTTATTTCTTATTGTGTATATAGAATGCTCATGTCACTTAAAATGTTCAGAACACTGTATGTATTTAAATAAATGAAATGTAAACAAATGAGTTTTATTTCTCCAAACTGTGGAGAAGTAATTCAATATAAAAGCTAGAATAAACTCTTTTTAAACACTAGTTGTTCTTTAAAATCTTACATAGAAAAATCCCATCATTGTTGAAGGCATTTACAAATACTATTAAACTGAATATTGAACAGTTTAAAAAGTCCATAGGCAGACAGTTTCACAGGGAGAGTTTCCCACTGACTGTCAACATGAGATGAGTCATATATTTCCAGTCAAAATGTAGCTTGGGTCACTCCTCCATTTGGATGATCCAGTGGAGTATTAAGTATAAAGTGACTATAATTATAAAACAGAAACATCTTTGGTTTGGTTTGGCTCCTGGTCCTGGGTTTTACTGTATGGCTGTGCGCATCACGTACCACCCACAGTCTGAGAGGCTGATTTCCGGAGAAGGCAGACTGCAACCACAGCTACAAAAAGCTATCCATTCTCAGAGGAGATTATGTAAACAAATAAAAATAAATTCAAAAATCTCTGGACTGAACAAAAGGAAAAACTGTCATTGTTTTCTTGTAGCACAGTCAATAAATTGTTCCATTTTGTCCAGTACATCCTGTTATTTTAGGTCCAAAAATAGTGAGTAGTGTTCTTCATACTTTATCCATATGGGGTCAACATGCCACTCCATTCAGTCAGTCTGGTTTTGGTTGTGTGACAGCAGGGGGCGCCATAACACGTTGTTCTTCCATTCGGTTGGACTGAGAGCGCATAATCAGACTGAAAAAGTCCTCATCTGGTACAGTGGGGCCCTTGTTTGAGGAGGAGGGAGCGGCACATCTCTGGTCATTCAGCCTAGATCCCTGAACACAGAATAGTACTGTAAACATTGACTGTACTTTATAAATGTACATTTGAGAAGTTAAGTTGTAGTTGTAGCACATGACCAGAATGACCAAACCGAAATAGATACTGAGACTTGAGAGTTCCTCATATGACTCATTAAAGGCTCCATGTTATGCAATGATATGATCCATGACAAAACATATACAGAAGACACAGAAGTCAAATAATGTTCTTTTATGAATATACTTATTAAAACATACTAACTAGTCCTGCAATCCCTGGACTCATTCAGATCTTAAAATGTATGTAGTGACAAACAGATTTCTTATAGTCCCATTATCCATAATAATAAATCATTTGACACATTTGGCACGTCACACCGTTACCAACAGAGGGTGACAGACTCCAAGTATTGTGTGCACCCAAAAGAAGATAGAGTGTAGAGATGTGTATATTTGGTATTTATAGATATGCAAGATATAATACAAATTAAAGCATGACCATGTATTTTTAAGACATAAAAAGCATGATATAAACATAAATACAGAATATATTTCTTACCTGGCACTTTACTAGCATGTCAAAGAAGACCTCGTCACCCTCCGGCTGATCAGCACTGGCCTCGAGTTGGTCGTAGAGAGAGTGTGTGTGAGGGGGATCTGTACTCGAGGTGGGGACTGAGGAGCACAACAGAACACAGGTCAATAGATGGTTACAAACTTTACATACAAAGGGAAAAACTTGACTAATTTTGATACCACAATAGTAGCATAGTAGCCTATACAGTGTACTCCCACTGTATATCCTTTAACAAGTGCATAATTTTCTCATAACTGTGATTTAGTTTAGTTTTATTTTAGTTGTTTGAGCAATATATTTGTACAAGGAACATAGACAATACATAAAAAGAAAATATGCTGGTACTGAGTAACCCAATAGAAATTCAAAGAGCTTATACAGTCCTAATCCTGTTGCATAGGTACAGTGCTGTGTAGTTAACACAACAATGCATTTTCAAAATAGATAAATAGCAGGCTCATGAATTTAACTTGTTTTATTTAAGATGTAGTTTTGATTGTTGACCAGCTCACTACGTAGAGGTTTGTGTTATAATTAATCACCTTGTGTTGGGGGTGGTTCTGCAGAGGTGTCCGGTGTATGAAGCGGGTTGGAGGTGCTGAGACGTAAGCCAGGAAAATGGCTCAGACTGGCTCGCTGGTCGTCTAGACGACGGGCCTGCGAGCTGGCCAGCAGCTCCAGGAAATGACCAGGATCCTGAGAGGGGGCTTCGCGATCCAAAATAGCTAGAAATATTCATAAGGTGCAACAGTAAGCTAACCTTACAAAACAACATCACATCAAACTAGAAGTGGGAATAGAGACCACAATAGACATGGGCACACTGTATTCACATCATAAAACTGGAGAAACCCAATTATGCAATAAAATGAATAAAACCAACTGATTTTGAATGGTGTGAACACAGACTAAACACAAGGGGGTGCACTCACATTTATTTTCTGCTATAGGTGGGGTGGACAGGGGGGAGGACTGGGCAGGGGGAGGGCTGTGGTCATCCAGGGTGCACCTTTGGTCATCCATTCTGCTGCCCTGGAAACGGTACAGCAGGTCAAAGAAGCCATCCTCACCAATCGTATCCCGTGAGCTCTATAACAGAAGAACTAGTCAGGTGACAACTAAACGCAAGATAATGAAAATAAAAATGAACAAGGATTTTAAATGATTTCTAATTCTTTATGGGGCATCTGGTAAATATTTATCACAGTTTTACATCAGTCAAGTTGCAGTTTGTGGGGAAAAGACCAAAATGAAAATTGAAAACTACAGGAGTCACAAACAAAATTTCATCCAAAATACAGGGACAATTTTTGCACATTTTATGATTGTCTGAACAATCAAGAAGAAAATGAAAAAGAAACTAAAAGATGTAATCCATAATATCTTCCAGACTAGGGAAAAACTAGGTAAGATTTAGAGATATAACTGTGCTAACTATGTTTTAATGAAATTTGTAGTCTACTCTGTCATACGTACAAATACATTAGGAAAATCAGAATACTATATAATAAGATTTTAAAGGTGCATTCTGTACCTTTTCTGGTGGAGGGTCCGTCAAAAGCTTTTTATTCATGGTATGATATTAAATCTATCTATATTTCTATATTCATGGACCTGGATATTTTTGAGCTATAAAACTATAAAATGTAATCATGTAAGTTAGAGCTTTTTAATGTCACACTGTGGTACCTTCTAAGCAAAGTAACGATATACCCACATAAAAAAGCAGGTAACAGACCCTCTACCAGAAAAGTTACATGATGGACCTTTAAGAAATACAAGTAAATGGTGTGTTTAATTTGGCAGGTCTCAAACAGAAACTAGTCCCGTTTTCATACCTTTGTTGTTATGACTGGTGTGTCCGTCTCAGGCGAGTGCTCGGCCCTGATTTCTGGGTGACCTTTAGCGGGAGTTTTGTTGTTTTTCTGCTTTTTGCTTTTTAACCGGTGAAAGAGGAACAGTTTTGTGGATGCTTTAATGGTGTTCGCTTTAGAAGGCTTTGAAAACACATCCTCATCCTGTAAATTTAAAAATTATAAGATGTTAACATGTTGGTAAGAGATTTATAACTATCATGTGAATACAAGATATGTGCCAAAGCAGGGTTGTGAACGCTATGAAGATTTTTAATACTTACGGCCTCCTGCCACAGATTGAAAATCAGGTACCAAAAGTAAACAACATTCATAAATACTTACCGAGTGTACAGATGAGTCCTCAGTTAAAGCTTTTTCAGGAGTATGACAAGAGTTTGAATTTTCCAAGTTGTCTTTACTTTTGTCAGGACTTTTCACCCCTTAAAAAAGGAAAGCATTTCAAGTTCAAATCTGAATGTATGTACTGTATATAATAAAACGGTATGAAATGCTATTTAAACTACTAGAATTGTGTAAAAATTAATAAAAAAGAATGAAATGCATAAATACCTGGAATGTTAGTGTAATCTGGGTAAAGTGGAGGTAGTGCAGAGCTATTTGTATTAGTATTGTGGTAGATGTTTAATCTATTATTGGAATTTGACTTGAGGCCCACAACTAGTCTCAGGTCAGACAAGTTCATTCTAGCCGTCACCTCACTGCTCTTGTCTCCAGTCTGCAAAATGAAATTACACAAAAGACATTAGTATATAGTATATTTTACGTAAGTTAACGTGATTTTGAGAGTTTGAAACAGAGAACTTCCTCGAACTAGGAAGTACGAGCACATAAGTCCTGTGCTCAGGTCTCTGCACTGGCTTCCTGTGCCTCAGAGAATACACTTTAAAGCAGCTCTGCTTGTGTACAAGTCTCTCCATGGCCGAGCACCAAAGTACATCTGTGACATGTTAGTGTCATATGAACCATCTCGCACTCTGAGGACCTCAGGGACCGGCCTCCTGCTGGTGCCCAGAGTCAGGACTAAACAAGGGGAGTCAGCGTTTCAGGTTCATGCAGCTAAAACCTGGAACAGTCTGAACATGTGAGACAGACTCTTCTGTGACGCTGTTTAAATGCAGGCTCAAAACATTTCTGTTTAACTGAGCATATAACTGAAAGGTTTTCATTCTGCACTCTTCTCTCCAATTTATGTCTCTATTTTTTAATTTTAATCTTCATGATTATTTATGTTTTGATTTGTTTTTATTATGATTTTAATGTATTTCTTATTCTGTAAAGCACTTTGAATTACTTTGTGTACAAATTGTCAGAATGAAATAAAACACCACTCTCAGTACATTTTTGATAAGGCTAACGTGGTTAAAAGCTCACAAGAGTAAATTTTGGACCTTTAAAGCTTAATTCTAATGTCAGTGTATGTTTTGCAATTCCTCTTGTGTCCAGTAGATGGCGGTGTCTCCTCATCAAAGTTTAATGTTTGAACATGCAGTCAAAGGTAAACATGTAAACAATCACCTCTTTGGCAATTTCCAAGTGCTTCTCTGCAAAATACATGGCTTGTTCGTGATTCCCCAGGGCCGTGTGGGCATTTCCTAGACTCCAGTAAGCTCTTCCTTCACCCACTCTGCACATACACACAGAAACAGGCTCAGCCGCTTCAGTTAAGACAGTTATGCAAGTGGTACTATCGCATTGAAAATAATACCAACATCTGGTTAGCATGAAACAAAATAGCTGTGAAAATTTTGCAACCCATACCTCATACAGCAGTGGTTCTCAAACTTTCACCCAAAAGTATCTAAGAAAATATTTGTATCGTAATCTAAACCAGGCTCATAACAGGATTGTATTAGGTTTAACATAGTCTAAAGTGGGATTAAATAATGAGCAGTTTTAAACCCTCTATTTGAGCTGTCTGGATAATGATTAATTAATGATTAAATAAAGGGGACGGCTTTAAAGATAGGACCTTTTGACTTTCTGTCATACTCAATCATGCTTCTACGTATTTTACTTATATAAACTTGTATTCATTATGTGAAAAATAAACACATACACTAAACCTGTCTTAACCTCGTATGAATGCAGCAACATGAACTGTAGAAATGTAAATAATATATGGATGTGGTGACTGATACTGAATGGGACTATAGTTTTACTTACTGAGAGACTGGACGAATTACTGCATTAATATACATTTCCAATTTTGCCGTAATGGGGCACATTACCGCCTCATAGTTTTTTGGGTTTTCTTTACATGCATTATCCCTGATAAATAAACAAATAAACTAAACTAAACTAAATACAAAACAGTGATATTCAAATTAGGACCAAAATATAAAATTAAAACATAAAATTAAAAACACTAGACTGGTAATAATGTGTACCACCAGAAGTAGCCCATGTACCACAGTTTGAGAACTACAGCCATGGAGAAAGTATATAAATTACTACGTGTAGTGGACCGTAGTAGTCATTAGTAAAAACAATATCCCTTTTCCTTAGATGCCTTTGTAATTCTGCTGTTCACTTAAGCCTGAGGGCACAAACTGCTAAAAACAGCCAGTCAAGTAATTTGGCTAAGGCCTGCCCCATTACTCCAACACACAAATACACACAGGCACACACACCCTCTCACACACAGGCACTCACACGCGCAAAGACACAAACACACACTTCAAAGCCACTTGAGGAAAAAAAGCTGACAACAAATGGCACATAGGCCAAGTTACCGGTCATTAAGGTCCTGTGCTATAACCAGATGCTTGAGGTGGTAGTCAATGGCTCTCTCATAGTCGTGTAGCAGAGTGTAGGTGTTGCCCAGGCTGTAACAGGCTTGGGCCTCCACAGCTCTGTCCTTCAGAAGTCTGGCCAACTGAAGTGTCCTCCTAGGGGTGAAAGAGCAAAGGAGGGACAGGGTCAAAGGAATAAGTGTCAAAGGACTAAGACTAGCAACATTTTAAAAAGGTGCTATACTGGATTTTTACTGATTTGAAAAGTTACAAAATACAACTAGTTTACAGAGGTTCAAAGTTATTCCTTATTTACCTTACGCATTCTGATCATCCTAATAATTCAATGCAATGAGTAACAGTAAATCTTGCAACAACTAGCATGCTAACGTACACTTGCACTTGCACCGATTATCAGATAAAATGCTTAGTCGACACGCAGCTGACTTATTTTGACCTCAAGAGCTGCTTATACAATATATCTGTACCAGGGCAAGACAAATTTTGCAGAAATAGATGGGAAAAGAAATCAAGCACAGGGCCTTTAATACACAAAGAGATACTTATTTTCAATTTTCTATCTGCATGACCCAGTGAAGCGCTCTACCACCACTTTAATTTGAGGGTCAAAGGAAGATTGTGAATGAATGTAGAACAAAGATAGGACTCTGTTTTCAACTTCTGATGCTATTCCAAAGATCCACGTAGCAGCATTTGAACAGTAATGAATGGTATTGCTTGTTTTTCCATTCCATCATGTGATAATGTACCAGGAGGTCTTAGAAGCCATTATTACTGTATATGTATATGGTAAAATGCTCAAAAGGCAATTTGACAAACACTTTTACAATTAAACGTCTATGATATTGCTACTTATTTTACTTTCAACAAGATAAGTTTCTCATCTTTAGTGAAATAGGGCTTGATCTATAGATGATCAGTCATTAATATACTCATATCAAAAAAGCAAGCAAGCAATTTAAGGTCTGTGTTTTACAAAATCACAAAATAGGCACACTAATACTATGTGATGTCATCAGGAAGTCAGACATTTTTAAAAGCTTCAAGTCAAGAAACATTTTAAATTTCAATTTGCATGTTAGGGCTGTGGGAATTAGTAACTGGATACACAAATAAATAGAGTTCAGTTCATGAGAAACACCAAATTCACAAGATACTTATGCAGTTTCTACAGAGAAGATTGATAATTACTTACTTGTAATGACTAGCTGCCACATCAAACTGGTTGAGAAATATGTGAGCATTGCCAAGATTACAGTGGGCCCTCCTCTCAGCAGACTTGTCTCCAAACTCCTTCGCAATGAGCAATCGCTATAAAAAAAGTAGTCAGAATTAATGGAAAAATTTTCATTGGTGAGTCTGGGTTCAGGAATTACTTTGGTCATTTACCTTTTCGTGTGCTGCTACTGCTGATTTGAAGTCTCCTAACAGATAGTAAGTGTTACCTAGGTTACCATAAGTCCGACCCTGGGCTGGTCGATCACCCAATTCCTTCACCATGGATAAATTTGCCCTGTGTTGAGTAGAGACACAAATTAATTCAGGAAGTACACATATATTTTTAAAAAAGGTATCAGTTTCTTTGTATATATTTTTTAAATATAATTTTTAAAATGTTTGGATCAATATTTAATCAGATTTGTTTTTTTTTATTAATTGTAAAATTCTTTCCCAGCATTTTAGTGTTATCACAAGTACAGTAACTTATTATTGGGTCATCTGCTTTTTTGGGTGCTTATATTTATTTTTACTTATATTTAGATGAAAAAGGGTGATTTATTATTTCAAAACATGTGAGAAACTCCTTATAAGCGGACATTAAAAGTGCACTGTGTAGCTTTTCTGGTGGAGAGTACGTCAAATGCTTTTCTCCATGGAGATGCTATTGCTTTGTCTGGAATGATTCATAGCACAGCATTAAGCCTTCTTCATGGAGACCAAACCAGGCCAAGTTACAGGTCAGATCTGTGAGGAGGCAATCCCGCTCACCATCAGAATGGCTATTTTTTGAGGTATTTCTGAGCTATAAAACCACATGTATTTGAATAAATGTAAGGTAGAGCAGCTTAATGTCACACTGTGGAGCATTCCAGGTAGATATATCTCCATAGAAACAAGCCAGTGACAGACCCGAACCAAAAAGTTACATAGTGCACCTTTCAGTTTCAGATGGTAATCCTAATGGGTAATCTGGGGGCAGGTCGATCCATAATTTACTGATCATGTAAACGGTATTATTGAAGCTAGTAAAACTGAAATTAAGTTATCATATCTATCAATGTGATGAGTGCATGAAAACACAGTGTATAGAAGTGACACTGAAAATGATGAGCTCACTCGTAGTACTGTGCAGCCTTCCTCAGAGCCACACGTGCCTCCTCTGGAAACTCTCCGGGCTCTGCTCCACTCCAGCAGATGCTCTTGCCTTTGGCGTGGTACACATTCCCAAAATTATACAGCGCCCGGGCCTGACCAACCTACGGCACGCACACAGACGGAAACCAGAGTGACCAGTGTGGTAATTATATGCTTAAAATACACTGACAGCAGACTTGTTTTCTTGTGGGCTGGCAAACTATTTCTAATGTTGGTGGTACATCTGTTTAGAACCAACTGCATGTGACCAAAGTGTGGTTTGAGAGCATGCTGTCAATATGTGACTGAAAATGCATTCAACTACAAACAAGAACAGATTATAGCTTTACTATAACGTACCTTGTCGTACATGGCTCTGGTAATGTCCAAATGTCGCTGGCAACAGACCACTGCTTCATCGTACCGCCCTAGAAGCTTTAGAGTGTTACCAAGGTTACCGCTGGCTTTGGCTTCACCGAGTTCATCTCCAATTGTCCTGAAAAGTAAAATAAACAGTACAAGTATAAACCAATGGAAACAAGTGTGCTTCCTCATAAAACACAAAGGATAACTGTGGAGTGCTACCTTGTGAGGGTGAGGTCATGGCGGTGATATTCCAGAGCTTTGTTATATTCCTGAAGGTGAAAGTAAGCGTTGCCCAGCTGACTGTAAATGGCACTGAGTATCTGAAGGTCCTCTGTTCCAACTTCAATGGCAGATTCAAAGAACGACACTCCGGCTCTGTAATCTCCGGATTTGCACAGCCGCTCTCCCTCTAGAGCCAGGTCCAAACACGACGTCTCCATTCTGTAGGAAGATGAATGAATATTAGCAAAACAAATAGGAGTGTGTATAAATCAACAACCCAAAAAGTAAGCACTCTTGTAATGGCAGAAAGCAGAGGTGGCTGAGCGGCTGTCTCATGCTTCACAGACTTTCAGTGCGGACTTTGCATATCCTTCCCGTGTTTGGTTTGCCTGACCAGCCAGTCCCTTCTGCATTCTGTTTAAATCCAGAAGGGACTGGAATCAGACCATAGAGCATAAAAAACCTCTGTCAAAACTTGAAAGACAGCAGCTTATTTGTATAAAATAAATTCTCCTATCATTAAATAACAAAATATCTTATTAGGCAAAAAAAAAAAGTAATATAAGTAATAGTTTGATTTGGGATTTCTGATTTTGTGAAAATCCATGCTGTTTCTCAGTCCTCTGTTTTATTTTTTTTCTCATTTTCTACGTGTAAGCAGAACAGGCCATGGAAACGGACCATGCATCTCTGATTGATTAGTTCGGCTGTCAATCACCCCCTCACAAACTGGGGAGATGGGATATGGCTCCAGATCCACTCATCTTTGTAAAGTTTTGTCAAAGTGTGTGGCTCTAGCTGACCAGACAAATGTTCGGGTGGGTTTCCTCTGAGCACAATGGTTTCCCCCGTCAACCCAAACAAGCACTATAGGTACAATCCGCCTACTAAGTTACTCCTCCTGACCAACAGCAACAGGACCACGGAGATAGGTAACCAGACGCTACACCACGGCACAAAATGTTTCTGATGAGGTGTCCCAGCAGCACTAAGGATGGGTCAAATACAGAGGACAAATTGATTACGGGGTCAACAAAGTGAACCCTTACGTTAAGACAGAGACAGATTTAGAAGAACCCTATGACAGGCCATGCACTGTCACAGCAGGTGCCAATCCAAACTGTGCTATCTTTGGTGTGTACGAGTCAATTAATCTGTGGACTACACCACACTACACTACTAAACTACTCCTCCAAAATGTACAGTCTATACAAGTAGACAAGCAGGTTTTGTATTATTTGTTGCCTGGTAACATGTAGTTTACACTTTAAGTTCTATAGTTCAGTGTACTATAAAAAACATTTTTTAAGGATTCTTTAAGGACACACTTCTATCGTTGCATCCAGCCTCTGCAATACTTCTAGTTTAGAGACATTATTCACAGGATACAAAAGAAAAGAAATTCAAAGTTCAGTAATGAGCAATCATAGAAGTATCCAACTTTGTAAGTTTCCATAGATTTCCAGAGATGTCATTTCTTTTGCCTGGAATGTTCCACAGTACAAAAAAAAAATCTATAACATCTCCGTGGAGACAAGCAGGCAAGCAAGTCATAGGGCCTCCATGAGGAAAAGTTACACAGCGTACCTTTTGAATGCACTGGAATAACATTTCCCAAACTGAAAACTCCCTTTACAAACAAAATGTGGGACCAAGAAAATCTCTCCAATGTGAAAACCCCAAATAAACCCCAGCATTTCCTGCCTGAGCACTGAGCCCTGGAACTCCAAAATTAGTCAGGAATGAAAATGTGTGCTGTGCATTTAACCATGAATACAGGGTTAACTCCTATGTGTCTGTGGTACAGTGGAGGATCTTATGCCACCAACATGCAGCAGTAGTTCATTCTAGACAGTTAATAAAAATTTTAAAAAGTTCTATTCTCTACATTAGTTATATTAAGTCACTGAACTTTAAGATAATAATGGCATGTTGACATTTTAAACTATAGTAACAGGACTCTTAAGAATGTATATTTCTTGTAGTTTCAGAAATAAGGAGGGTACATTTTGAAAAAACTTAACATAAAATAATTGACATGCAGTGGTTATTCCTTAAAAATAAAATACACAATGAAAGTATTTTATTATGTAAGAAACAAAGTAAAAACAGATACGCGTTCTAACCTTGCACTGCCCCCTCAGAGACACTTCTTGTCCCATGTCAGACCTCTCACGCACAGCACACTTCCTCTATCTACGGGCCTTAAACTTCACTAATGAGGAAGAGCTGAGGAGGAGTGGACCACTCCGTGTGCCATCATTACACAGAGGGGGGTCCATGTAATCACTGGACCAGATTTAGCCCAAGTAACTTAACCTGGTCTCTCTTAATTTCAAACAGAATAGTTTAAAAACACTGACATATAAGACACCAGTGCCCAAACTGTCCATGATAACATACCTGTTGCCTCTCCTCATTCGGATGCACTTGAGGCACTTGGACAAGTAGACAGACATTTTGAGCTTGTTGATGATTCTCTGAAGTAAACAGAGCTCCTTTAGCGTGGCAAACTTCACCCTGCGTTCCCTCTTGTACATACACATAACGCACAGTGCCACAGAGTCCAAGCCTGACAGAATAAAACGACGCCTCCTCTCGCGTCCAATGTGCTTTCCCTCACCGCCGCTAACAGCAAAACAAAGGTTTAATCCGCTCTGGTGACCTCGTCCTTAGCAGCCGGTGTCCAGGACGATTGTTCAGCTGAATGCAGCTTTAATCCAAGTGGTTACTGAGCAGAAACAGAGTAAACTCACAACAGAAATGTTGAAGCCCCCTGTTTACCTAATAGCTGCACTTCTATCCTCAGCCATTGGTCAACTATTTCTCTAAGCCACTTGATGGTGTGTCACTTCCAATTAGTCCAGGCCTCAGTGGTAATTATAGCCACTTTAAGTGGCTCCTGTGAAGTCTAAAGCTACTTGCTTAACACTCCATGAAATAATCATTTGGAAGCAGGTTCTATGGATAGCTAGGGTGACCCTTATTGAACCTATAGGAAAATGGACAGAGGCAAGGCATTTGTAACAACGCTTTCAAGTTCTATACTGTTATAATACAATAAAGACAGACACCTCGTTGTCAATATTTGGCCTTTGTGTAATTACTCATTTAGTTTAGTGGCTGATCCAGGCAAATCCACTTGTCTGAAATTAACTAAGAGTGGACTTGTCCCTGGTGAATGAGACACTGGCACAGGTCACATGACTTTAAATCTGCACCCTCTGCTGACCAAATCCCACTCAATAGTCATGAGATTAGCAAAACTAGGTATGCCAGGGACTGTATCTTTTCAGAGAAAGAGGGCAGCAAATTAGTAGCAGTAAATAGTATTTTATAGCTTCCCAGGAATGTCTGCCACATTTGTTAAGTCACATTCTTCACACACACCTGTCGTTTAACTTCCTGCCTGAAACAACAATGGACTGTTTATTGTAGTCTTTCTATGAACTAAGTGAAGACTTGACTGTTGGCTGTCACTGTGTGCACTGAAGACTTTCACCAACTTGAAGAGACTTGTACATGATGCGTCACATTACAATAAAGTGAAGCAATCTGTGCCTCATAATAACAGTATCCAGCAGCCTGCAATCAGCCTTATCCTCACGTGTGTTTTGGTTGTGATGTGAAATATTTACATGGGTGCTTGGACCTCCTGCACAGCATCATTAACCATGGGACAATATGGTTTCACATTACTGTTAGAAAGAGCTAAGGCCCAGTGTCAAGTCGATCATTTAGCAAGACATGTTAAATGCTCACTTATGAGGAAGCACATTGAGGAAGGAAACCGTCCCGTATCATCCCAAAGTTCAGCAAGTTGACTGAACTTAGTCATGTCAACAACAGAAAATGACATTCAGCAAATGAACAGAAATAATAATGCAAAAGAAAACACTGCCAGGAAGTACTGAGTTTTGAATCTTTTGTAGGTGCATAATTTGGACCATTTCTCTAAAATATAGCGATTTTTGTATCTAAGATTTTTGTAAAAACATAATTAAATGGTGCACTGTGTAACTTTTGTGGTGTGCTACCTGCTTGTCTCTATGGAGATGTTATTGCTTTGCCCTACGGTATTGCATAAGACTTGAATATCTTGCATATTACAATTGCTTACAAGTAATTACACTTGCTCAAAAACAGGTATCTGCTGCTTTATATCTTGAACTTCTACTTTCTATCACTATAGATAAAGTTAATATCATACAGGGGTATGTAGGGGTATTCTAGGCAACACAATAGCACTTCTTGGAAACAAGCAGACCAGCAGTAAACCACCATAACAACAATTACCTGCTACTGATTATTTTTGAGAGAACAGTACCACAATGTTCCACTGCAATATCCCATTATCAAATAGGGATATAACGATATCCAAATCCCTCCATAAATTTTCACGACATGCATCTCACGGTATGATATTTATTGTCATATTTTGAGGAGACTTAACAGAATTGTGAATATGCTATGTTTCTGTTGTAGTACAAATAATTCAGATTTAAATGTGCTTAATAACAGTTATTTTGTCATGTAGATTGGACTTAACAAAGCAAAGCATCATGGTATATGTAGTTCTCTCTGTTTTTAGCTGTTGCTGCACCATAACAATGAATTTAAGCAAAGAAACTTGTTATTTGATATATTGTGACAGACTTTTGACGATTTGATGAAACGATGTTCGGTTACTCTTACATCCCTGTTATAAAACATATTAAAATAGCAAGCCCTAACTGACAAATGTATACATGCATTGTGAGCCTACCTGCGTCTTATTCTCACTAAAAGCTCTTTGTCCAACGCACAGTGCAGCAAAACTATCCCAAACATGACTCCTCAGTCTACAGCTCCAGGACCACAGGGGAGAGCCGTTACCTGCCCCAGCCCAGGCAAAGCCAACATTTTCCAATAAGCGATAACTTTATCATCCCTATACGACGTTATCAGGAAACACTAAGCAAAGCCATGCCTGGATTGTGACTAACAATGAAGGAATCCAGCCGTTATGCTATCTGCGCCGCTCTTATCTGTGAAACTGGAGAAGCAGAGGGAGCGTAAACATGGATGCTCACTATCATATGTACACAAGAGGCATCCCATTCTCAGAGGCATAAAGGTGACAGGGAACAGTGCACACTTAAACATAAACCAGCATTTGAGGGTGAATTTTGATGTCAGTCTCAAAAATAAAATGCTTCAAAATCATATTGACAAGTATG